AAAAGCCGCTTTGGTACCAGTCATATTTTCTCGTATCAGTCGGCTGTCACACCTCAAACGAAAACCACTATTCAAGCGAGAAGCCTCCATTCAAAAAAGGTAATCCCAAGGGATGATACGGAAACAACGTCTCTGGGGGATACAAATGTTTTCTTATCTAAATTTTATGGAAACAAAGGAAATGCAAATAGACATATGTAGTCCTAATCAACGCTCCCTTTGAGCTTTTGTTAAATGAAACAAAAGAAGACATTGAGATGTACTGCATTATTTTGCAGAAAAAAATCGATTCTCGAGAATTCCTTACCTTCGCGACAGGTACTAGTGCATAGATGGAATCAGGCACAACCCTGAACTTGGTGGCAACTTTATGGATCAACTCCTGAAAGAAACATGAATCTGACGATAAAATCATAATAAGTGGGCAAATTTACCTGACTGCCATTAGTAGAAGTGCGACGTATCTCCCAATGTAAAACTGCCTGAAAAGAAAGAAAAATTCACAAAATTCACAGTTACTGCTGGTTTCATAATATGTTTATTTCCTTATAAATTATGTATCTATTTGACAGCGTAAACAAGAAGGTACCTCATCTCCCTCTTCATTCTTCATCAGCCTCTTATTCTCTGCAATCGAGCCACGCATTCGTAGAAGAAGTGCAAATACGTAGCCATCCCAGCTGAAAAATTCGGATATGCAGTGAAGTTTACGGTAAAAAAGTCACATAAGAGGATCATTAAAGTAATGGTGAAAAGTACAAAACATGTGAATATGGCAGTTCTTAATAAAGAAGGTTTTTGTTCGCTTGTTTTTGTTTTTTCAATGTTCTCATATTCAAATATGAAGGTGCTGTTACTTTGTCGGGATTACCTCATCCTCCTCTTTTCCGTAGAAAACTGTGGTTTTCACATATGAAACCTTTCCAAACTTACATCAAAGAAAATCAAGGAACCCGGAAAATCACACAAATTCTGATGTAGAAAATACAATGAAAAATAGACTCAAGATCCGTGAAAGTGGTGTACCACATTGATACTTTCGACTTTGTGGACTGTTTTCTTAGA